TGCCAGGAGAAAAACCGCACTCCTCCCGCAACAGAGAGCAGAGCATCCTCATCCCTGCCTCAGTGCACTGTATTTGTCAATAAAAGACCAGCTTGATTCAAGGTACAATTGCATCTTGACTGGCTGTCACTGACAATGCTGCTCCAGACGGCCTCAAAGCCTGACAACCACTTTCTGAACAAAATGGAAATACAGAGACTAATATTTGCTAACATCATTAATTCTTTTTTTTTCTCTCCACTCCCCCTTCTTCTTTTATCCACGATGTCAAGATGTATACTTTTAAATTGTTGTCAGCCATAAAACAGACGTCGTGTCCCAGTTCAGAGGTTAACATATAATGACAGACACATTAAAAAACCCTGTCCAATGCCTCACTGAAAATTTCAGCTCCATCTTCTCTTCAACAAGACAGTAGCTCAAACTCACTTAGAAGCTTTAACAACATTAAAGTCTAATCATGATTGAAAAATAAAGGAGAAAGAGAAGATAGTTTTATCTTACTAAGCATTATGGAAACAAAAAACCAATTAGAGTCAAACATTTTCTTTGCGAGGGTTTGGAGTTCACCCACGCTTTTTGTCTTAAAAGTCTCCCATGATCACAGCATGATCCACTTCTCCTCTTGCATTTTTGGAGAGCAGGATGAAAAATATAATTTAAGAGGAAAAGTGGTAGTTTCCTGTTGGGGTTTGGTTTGGTGGGCCAACCTCTTGCTATATCCCTGAAGACAGGACAGGGATTTATTATTTTTCACCTCCGAGCCCAAGCTTTGTTCCAATCCACACAAAACAAGCTACAACAGATTTCACAGGGTGGCACTTCCAAGGGCCCTTCCGATGAGTCACTTCAAACTCATGTGCCAGAACTCGTTACAGAGATGCAAGTGAACTTACCGTCGGTGATTAGCTGGGACTGAACTGGACCGAATGGTACACAGCTCTTTTATATGTAGGGCAAGGGACTCATAACTCTGACGGAAGGAAAGGTACAGAGAAGTCATACAAAGACACTGCAAAACAGCAGGAATAGCACAAGTTTCAGTAAAGTTTGTTTGAAAAAAAAAAAAACAACAAACCACAAAACCAAAAAAACCGTAACTTGGAGTTAAGAGAAGAGCTAGATCCTAGGCATGAGTTAAATGTAGGGCATCCCAGTTTTATCCAGAGCAAAATGAGAACTCTGCCTGACTAGTTTTGCAAGTTCGGACATTCAGCACAGACAGCAGCAACAGCTGTTTGGCAAGGCACATGGCTGTGTTGCACAGCCTATCTATCATCCCCCCAAATTCCCTCACGTCTCACTCGGGCTTTTCTTCACACCCAAAACCTCTAAGTAGCTTCACATAAATATATTTAAGAAAAAGTCGTTAAGAAAAAGAGAAAGCCATTAGCAAAAAGGTTCTTCTCATCAAAATACTTATCTTCGAAGTTATACTGCCTTAAAACGGTCAAGGCTTAAGTTCTCCATCATCACGCATCTTGGAAACAGAAGAGAGAGACAACTTAAATGAGAGCCACGCATCAGGATCTCACACCTGAGCCACCACGGTGCACGGAAGAAGTCACCTCAGGTTATGCTCAGAGGCTACTTATTGTACTATTTTTCTCTTCCTCCGAGGCTGACACAACTTGAGTCAGAGCAGCATCTGTATCTGGCCTTATGGGATGGAGACAAGAAATGCTCCCAACGATACTACTAGAATCAAAACTTCTCAAGTCTTTCCTCAGCAGC